TGGAGTGTTTTTTGTTTACATTTAGAACCTCCCTTGACAGCGCAGTGATAGTATTTTGACACACGACACTTCCATACAAATCGAAAAACGGGACACTTCCGCATAAAAGAAACATTCATTGTGTGATGGATAATAGCAATTTGTATAGTTATACTTATGCAAAATGTTATGTTTAAAGAAGATTTTAGCAAAAATGTTACACTTAAAGAATGGAAAATACCTTATGGTATCTTTAAAATTATATACGTCTTTCGATACCCTTGATTATGCACTCTTAATAAAAAATAATCTTTAGTTACAAACAATAGATTACATAAGTTGGGACAATAGATGAGCTGATTAATTATGTAACTAACTTTCATTAGCTATACATAACAGCAATACGGGCTACTACTTAAAGGAAAAGGTTATATTTGTACTTCTTTTCATAATTCTTATTTCAATAATAATTTTAAGTTCTTACCTAACGCTCTTAAAATATTACGGGATTAAAATTTTACTTTGTGAGCCTTTTGTTCTGCAAATAAATCTATGGCATCATCATAATTAATTTGATGTGCTGTTTGATTTTCGATTGCCAGAATTGCGAGACTTGATAGACGCTCCTGGCTCATCGATAATATTAGACAGTTTTTAATAAGTTTTAATTTGCTAAAACTTCGCTTACAGCTTGCGGATGTAGTTGGAAGCATAGAGTAAATCCGCAGGGCAATACAAATATTGTAAAAGGCATCCTGAAAGTCATAGGTGTAGATCTGTTGCAAGAGATGAAAAGCTCTAGCCTTTTTATGTCGACAAATAACATCGGGACTTGTTCTTTAAAATCGGCAAGTTCCTGACAGAATTCAAATGCGTTTAGAGATCTCGCTCAAATTTTCGTGCAAGATCTGTTCTATTCTTTTGCAGTTCTTCAGTTGACATATTCAATATTTCACGACCATTGAGAAATGGAAATTTGAATTTAGTGTAATAGCCCTGTTTACTCTCGTTTTAATTTCTGATAAGATTCGATCAAATACAATTTTCATTGCATTAGAAAGTAGCTCAACACGATGAAATGTTAGTGATTCGTCCTCGCACAATTCATCAAATTCCTTTTTTGCGTTTTAGAATTCACTTATTTGTCAGAATAGGTTCAACCTCAATTTTTTTCAGCTGCTGCTTTAATTCTAATAGCTTCTATCCAATATTCCGTAGGAATTTCTCTAATTTTTTGCAAAGTTTTGGTCAGACCTTCCATTAATGCGACGGAACGCGCGAGAATAATATCTTCCATTTGAATTTCAGAATTTATTCGATTGATTTCTCGAAGAATATGGGCCCAAATTATCAGGCTGATAATAAATTCAAAAATTTTTTACAACATGTAGCAGATGCCTTGCTTCGTACTTTGATAGATAGTTAATTTTAAAATAGTAATATAGTACTTTGAAAGATAATTAATTTCTTTCAAGGATTTTACTACTTCTGGTAAATTCCTTAGAAGGGCTTTCAAAGCCACATATTTCGCCAACCATCTCGTCTGGCTGCTTCCTTTTGAGTTGTTTTTGTACATGTTTTCGTAATATCCCATCGAATAATGAATCCCACAAAAAAGCTAAATATCTTTTGGATAATTCCAAAGAAGTTAACTGCTTCGGGTCAAGACGGAGGCAGAATGCACACAGACAAGATTCAAAGAGTGAGCCAAACATCGCACATATTCGAGCAGCTTATTCATTTCTATAATCCTGGCTTGTACTCCAGAATTACTCCAAGATCTAGTATGGCCGGTAAGTACCGGCCAATACTAGATCCGTTATCCTCAGATTGACCATGACATTGTTAATATCCAAACCATTAAGTGTCAGTTTTCCCACAATCCGTTGAGAAATATATTCTCCTGTCTTTCCACCAATTTCTATGAAATCAGTAAAGCTCTCCTTTATTTCACACACATTACCACATATTTTTTACGTATTGAATCACCTGGCTCATTTGTTCTGTATGCGACACATCTGGAATGCAATCGAACATTGTTGTATAATATTTGGCTTACTTAATATCATTTAAAATGCTATTGCGAATTGTTTTCGCCATTACACCAGTAATTTCATTTTGAATTACCTATGTTAAATATGATACTTTTGTCCCTTCCTTAGGTATTCTAACTGGTACTTAAGAGTTATGTTTGGCTAGCAAAGTCATTAAATTAAAAAAATTGCGTTGAGTAGACCGAGGACACTTTGTGAGCAGACTGCCAGGGGTTTCATCAGACCCGCGGAAAGAAAGATAGTTTGTTGAAAGATACAATACAGCATCCATACTCCTCTGTAGGATCTTTCTCTGTGTGAATTAATCTCTTAATGTCATGATCGATGCCTTGACACAATTTCATTTGTTGTAGTGGAATTTTCCACTTAATCATGCACTCGCTGTGGGTGTACAAAAATTACATTTTTAGTTTTAGAATATACAAGCGAAGATCTTTTAAGCCTTTCATTATTTGCTAATGTTCTGTGCCACAATGAAGATGTCAAATGTCTTCCATCACAGTCAGTGTGCTAAGGTCTACATTTTCTGGATATTTTTCGGCTAATAATACAGCTTGACTGCTAAGAAAAATTGTTGCTGATCGTTAATTTTTTCTGTGATTGGCCAACTATCTGGGTCCGACAAATCAAAAGATTTTAAGTCTTCTTTCTGCTGCCCACATTCACCTAAATGAGAAAATACATTATATTCTAATTTCATGTCCTCTAGATGTTCGTTTGGGGGTCTATGAAGAAAGTTGTTCTCTCAGTTGCTGAAATGGAGTCTGTTTGAGGATGATAGATGAAGATTCTGCATTTTGGGCATGCAAATTGCAAGAAATATCAATATCGTTTAGAATCTCTGCACCATCGGAAGTTGCGGCAGGGTCTGACGGTTCGTCTTTTCCATGAAGCCATTTTTCATTTTAGCTGCAATTAGTTTTCTCTGTTCGGTCCTATCTTTCGCTCTGGTTCTATATTCCGCCCCTGAGAGTTTTTCCCTAGACCCTCTCATGATTTCTTGCACCCTAAGTAATATACAGTATAACTTGCCTTAATAAGAAAAGCTAAAAATTGATGTAATTAAATTCAACAGTATTAAGGCCGCGTCGCAGACGCGCGCGCTAACTAAATGGTTGCATCTCGCTAAATATAGTGAGGAATACTAGAAGCAGGCATATTAAAAGAAAATGAGACAACAAAAATCCATCCATATTAAAGAAACTAAAAAAAAACTTTAAAAACTATAAAAATAATAAATCCATTTTGAAAACCTAGGTTGCTCACTGGCTGCAAAAAATCAAAATACCTTACTTCACTTCTGTTGTATATTCTCGACGTACATTAATTTGAATTATTTCATTGGTCCAAGGTTAATTTGTATTGGGTGTTAGGAAAGAGTTACAATTTACAATGCTTCTCCATTTATTTCGCAAGAGCCGTTGGTATAACAAGGCGCCTCTATGCAATCGTTCTGTTTTTCATTTGAATATTCCCGACAGGGGAGAGGACAACAGAGGGACTCTAGGCAAAGAAGTTGAGGGGAAATATATATAGATTCTTTGCTCTATGCGTCACTTATAGGGACCAAAGACCAAGGCGTATAGAGAGTACCTTTGTAATAAAATTACATATTGGGTTGGCAGAGGGACAGGGTCCTTTGACTTTTTCAGTGACGCCTAGAGTCATTCTATTGTCCTCTCCCTGATCTGATCTTTAGAGTCGTGTTCGGCTGTACTTAGCTTACCTTTAAAACTATTTGCTCCATTAAAAGGTTTCGACTAATTAATTAAATATTCTTAAGAGAGATTTTAAATCTGGCTTTAAAACTACTAATGTTGCATGAAAATTTCACAACATTCCAAATACAATTAAGCGTCACTCTTGAATCTGCCGCCCTCAGAAGTAGCCGCCCGGGGCACGGACCCCGGCTTGCCCCCCCCCCCTAGATCCGGGACTGCATCAGTTTGCTTCGAATTCTTTTATATATTACATGAACATTTTCATGGACACGAATTGAAATATAGCACCAAAAGCTAAATTAATCCCGCTTATAAAAACAGGAGAAGATTTCTTATGACTTATTGCCGTTAGTTAAAACAGATTGTCAAAGTTGACTGAAGCAGATGAAAACGAGCTTGTCCTTCCTCACCGTACGGCCAACTCAATCCAAGCGCATTAGGCTCCGGCAGAAATCTGACTACACTTCGAACTGTTGTTTTAGAAGAGATAAAATGATATTTGTTTTAACGCTTTTTGAACGTTATGTAAAATTTTACTAAAAAGTGTTATCATTTAAAATACTTAAGGAATAGCCTAGTCCTCTATTCTACTGGCAGCATGCCGCTGATCTAGGTTAAATAAAAATTCACAAAATTGTCGTTTAAAATTTATTTGCAAATTAATTTCATTAATTCTAACTTAAAAGATTTTTTCACAATTGTCTCTTATCTACTCTAATCAACTGAATTCATTATCGATATTAGATATCTGCTTCTTGTATTTATTTTTAGGTATCTTTTACCATATTGATTTGAACAGGTTTTAATATTTTCAAGCTATTTCATATTTCTTATTGCAAAAGTAGCTTCATTTATCACTAAAATGCTGTCATTCAAATCACAACACTGCTGTGCCTTCTGACAGCATGAATTTAATTTAGTTAATTGTAAGATGTAATTCTTAACTATAATTAAATTCTAAAATGTAATACTGATTTTTCAATATGCAGGTACATGCACCGCGCTTTCAATTTTAACTTTGCATGTTTTAAAATTATTTTAAAGTGGCTTTTAATTGTAAATGTAAAATGTCTTAAAAATTAACAACAGACAAAATATTTAGTAAAAAATAATAACATTTTTATTTATACAAAATGATAATTGAGCTACAAAATTACAGAGTGGTGAGTCATATGTACAAACTTGAGACATGATATGAGTAAGGTACATTCTTTATGTCCTGAGTCTCTCTTTCACCTCTTTTTTCACCTGCCATCTTTCTAACCTGAAATAAAAGTATAAATTATTTGGATTTCAAAGATGTTTCGAGTCTCTTTTGCACCCCCCCCCCAAAAAAAAAAACTGAAAACAGTTTGCTCATCATGATATAATAAATACGAACCTGAATCTGCGATGTAAATTCTACTGCACTTTCCCATTTCATTAAATTTAGACGAGTGATTTAGTGAAACAATGGTTTACAAAACTGGCATCAATTATATCATAACACTCGCAAATGTCGACAGTTTATAATAATGTAAATAATTTTTGATTGAAAAGAAGGCCCAGTTCATTAAAGGATTGATTTTATATATATATCAAAGCTTAATGTTTATTTGGAATTTTAAGGTTACTACCACTGTCATCCCCGAACACGTATATAAGGTAATTTTATTTTCACATGCATTTTAATTTAGACTCATGATATTCATAGACTACTTCAATGTATGGTTGAAAATGATATATTGCTTGCCAAAGAGATTCCTTTTAATTTGGATGTTATATACTACAAAGAAACTAGTTCTGGGTAGTATCGTAATATCCATTTCCTATGGTTGCCTGCTTCAAATTGCTGTATGCTTATTTTTAATATAATCAATATTTTTTTCTGTTCTTTACGCTAAACTTCGTTGACGAGGTAGTTGTTATGGTTCTTGCATAATGAGAAATGACATTAAATTTCCAGAACCTTGAATATTCTTTTAACAAGTAGAAATCAAACGAACCGAAAAGAAAATTTCCTATTTGAAAGGAAAACTATATTGAATTCGAAAATCAGCATTTGAGATTAATTTTAAAACTTATTCTCTTCAATTCGTAGAAGAAAGATTTTAAAAACTGATTAACTTTGCTGTACACATACAAGAATAATAGAACATTAATTTTGAACTCTAGAAATGCCATAAGAAATACTGGATTGGATTATAGATTATGCCAAACCACACGCGAATCATCTGCCTAGGTGGACGTCTGCTTGCGTTGACAACTTTTTAAGGGAAACTAGCGTGTGTTGAAGTCACCATGGGGAAATCCACGAAGACTCCCATGCAGCCTAACTTTTCGCCGGGATTTGAATCTTGGGCGGTTTTACTATTCGGCCCCTGCTATGCTATAAGGCGTAATGAAAAAATTCATTTTGGTTATCATTCTTCTGTTCTCTAATTCTGCGTGATCAAAGGGGCCCACCAGCGGCCGAGCGGTAAAATCGCTGAACACTGGTAGTTCGGTCCGAGGTTCGAATCCCGCGAACGGGCTGGCTGCATGGGCGTTTTCGTGGTTTTCCCCATGTGTAACGTGTATACGAGCCAGTTTCCCTTAGGAAGTCCTCCACGAAAGGCATCCCTCCCCTTAGGCAGATAGCCCTAGTGTGCTTTGCCGTATTCTCAGTACACCAACATCTGCGTGATCAAAGAAATTATGTGTTTTTTCATATCTATAAACGACGTACTACTTTTGTGCTAATGTCTGCACTTACGTTTTACAAAAGCAGATGAGGACTGGTGACATATCCCATCGGAGAAACAGCTTCCGCTCGTTTGATGTAGAAACTTGTTAGGAAGGGTTGTTTTTTTTTTTTTTTTCATCATTTCTCAATGTTTAAATTTTACTAAAATGTCAAGTACTTTACAAAAATATAAATTTTTAATTGAACAGTTACTTGGTTAAATTCAGAACCTCCCAGTAGTCGAAAGTGGTATAGTTATACTCGTAGTTATTGGTATTTCGCTTCATCAATGAAAATTTAATATAATAACAATAAATTTTTTAATATAATGATAGTACATTTTTTATAAACTTGAAAATTAATTATTTTACTATAAAACATAATTTCAAAGAAATGACGTAATTGGCTTAATATAGGAATCAGAGTTGAATCTGTAAAATAATCCAAAGAATTTTTTATTCTGCGGATGTTATTTGAATATTCATATTACGTATAAATAAATTTATATATCAATATAAATTTTCTTTTCAAAAGTTTCGTCTTCAAGTTTCAAAAGTTTCATTTTAAGTTTCGTCATCCCTTAGTTTCTGATTAATAACGAAAAAGACCTCATCGAGGACTTTCCAGGGGAAACTGTGGTATTTACACAGCTGAGAAAAGCCTCGTAACCCAGCTAATTTTTCATTCCCTCAGTACCCTGAAGCTGAATACGGAAAAAATCAGTGTTCCTCTGTTTCAGTCACTCAACCACTATTAAATTAAGTTAAAAGAAACTGTTTAAGACAGTTGCTATCTTTAGCTATTTAGTTACGACAAAGCCATATGTAGATTTTTTACTTAAGGCAGTGTAGTGATTCCCAACCTTTTTCGACTGACCACACGTTTATCTGGGCACCTGTGATCCTGCGCAGTAATCTGGATTTTGAATTGTTGTTCTTGCTGCTATTGTTATCATTATAATATTAACACTCACTTATCTGCTTTCTAAGATTATTTCGCTGAGGTTGTCAAGGTACCCTTTTAACGACTCAAATCATTTTAAAAATGTATTAATGGATTCCTGTATTTAGATTGCATTATATTCGTTGTAGAAAATACTGATTCATTTAAGTAAACGTTGACTATGGAAGCAAAAATTTAAATCTTGATTTTAAAATCGAAAAGTTCGTAGAATATCTCCTGGTTTTTCACGGCACAACAGAATGATGAAACGCAGCAGTTGGCAAACTCTGTGGTTTAAAGATAATGCTTGCATTAAGAAGTTTTTGTGGGAAAATAGCTTGTATTTATGCTACATATAAGGAAGCTACTAAAGTGACCACTTATAGAGGCAGCTTCAGCGTCGGGATACGAATTTAGGCTTGATTATGGCAGAGCACACAATGGATATCCACCCAGAGGGGGATGCCTTCGTCGATGATCGTTTTTGGGGGGTGAGATTGATTCGTATTCACGTTATTACTCATGAGGAAAGCCACGCGAAGTCCCAACCTATTCGCCGGGATTTGAACCTAGGTCAAAGGACCAGTATTCAGCACTCTCACGGCTCGGCGGCGGCTGGCAAGTCAAACCTAGGATCGACGTACTACTATTTTGTGACTTTAACCTATTTTTTGTTAAGGTAACTAAGTCGTTACCTTAACAAAATAAATAAATAAATAAATAAATAAATAAAATAAAGATAACTGATTGTTGTAATTGGCCATAACATTGAAACTTTCATCTTGTAGCTTAAGGTATGCATCCTCCGTACACAATCACTGGTAAAGCTTGAAAGGAGGGCAACTGAATTAAATGAAAGGAGAACTCTGAACATATTCCTTAGATTATACGTCCTTCATTCATTCTACGTATCTTTAAATAAATAATGAATACTTCAGAGAAACACTGGGTATATAATTCTATTAATAATTTAAAATGTTTTATATTTATTAATTTGTTCTGCTACGCACTAAAACCTTTGTCATAATTTTGCTTCTTACGTCCTATTTATGCCATAAGTCAAGCATATCTATGCGTTTGCTTAAGACCGCTATATATTAACCCATCCTATTTTGAGTTATAAAGCATTTTGCTCATACACACAGCCCTACACAATCACATTTATTACATAATTGAGTTATTTTTTCCAAAATGGGGTAACAACTTGAATTTCCCAGAGCAAATATATGACTTTTTTCAACTCTTTCTCTTACATATCTCTTCCGCAATCTATACATTCCTATTTTATTGCTGATAATTTTTTTACTGCCATGCTGAGTTTTTAATTGTTCAAGCAAATTACCTAACTATTATCTTATTACAAATTATTTAGTTTGGAAAAGTAATGAAGTAATTTTGAAAATAATATTTGAGTAATGAATTAATAAAAATTATAATAGTTTGGCGTAGTGGTTTCTCACACATCTCGAATATCTGGACTTATAAAAGCTTAATTACGTAAACTATATACATACCTGTATATCATATATATACACTCAATGTCATGCGATTTAAGGTAAACTCAATATTTCTTGAATGTTTAAAAACTTCCAACATCAAACTCAACATTCATATTATTATTATTTTTTTTAATTATGGCAAAGCACACGTGGGCTATCTGTCTAAGGGGCGGAATGCCTTCGGGGAGGGCTTTCTAAGGGAAACTGGCTCGTATACACGTTACACATGGGGAAAGCCACGTAACACCCATGCAGCCCGCCCGTTCGCGGGATTCGAACCTCGGACCGAACTACCAGTGTTCAGCGACTTTACCGCTGGGCCGCTGGTGGGCCCAACATTTATATTAAGCCCGGAATTGTTAAATTAGATATCAAATGCATTTTACAGTTATGACTGTTGGATGATTTCCTTTTCAGCTTCATTGATCAGATCACATCAAAAAGAAATACGAATGCATCGAAACAAGCATCCTACTTAGCATATCTTAATTTATTATTATCATTTAAATAATTTTTCCAGATAATGAAGCGTAACATATTATTGCATTTATATGATTGTGTAAATTTTATTCGATAAAAGTTTAAAAATAATATAAAATCTTTGAAATAGTTAAAATTTTTGTTCATGTCTAAAAAAAATTTATTCTGAGATAAAAGGAGCTTGTTTAGTCATTTATGTCAGGCAGAAGTAACGACTGAATTTCGATATTGCAAATTAATAAAGTGGCGAAGAATCGTTTACGAGGCAAGGGCTGCGTATAACAAGAGTTTTATGAACAATCGTATGTTATATCAAACATGTGGTAATGATTTAAATCTCAAAATTCCGCTACACCATTAACTAAGTTTATTTATTCGTATTGAAAAGTAAACAGATTACCTTTAATTATCGAACTTTACATTCATTATGATAGTAAAAAGGGGGTAGGTTCTTTTATGAACATCTAAGGGTTCTAGTGGTTAAATAATTAATTTTTAATTTTAATTTAATTCGTTTCAGTTATTTTGAAAAATGTGCTGTTTTCTACAGTGCATAGTTGTTTAATAATTTTTTACGATGAGAATTACTCTCTTAAAATTGAATTTTATCGGAAAAAATAAAAACAGGGAATCTGGTTAAATATGCCGAGCTATAATTTTTACGGATAGAATAATAACGCGTATTATTTGCCTAATGAATGCCTAATGTCTAATGATATAGACTAATACAGAACTTACTTTTCAACGCATTTCTAGAAGCCGTGATGTCCTCCCCCATGTCCTCCAAGCTCTAACCCGAAACCTAAACCTCCTCCTCCGTGGTGAAGTCCATGATGTCCAAGGCCATGATGATTTCCGAAAAGATGAGCAATATCTACGAAACGGATTTTGATGAAGGGTAGAGGAATGCCAATATGAATACCATGATGACCAGCCAAAGTTGCTGACACCAGGCAGAAGAAAGCAATGGCAAAAACCTATTAAAAAAAAGAAAAAGAGACAGAGAAATTATATTAAGTATAACATAAGTAATGTTATAAGACACTGAAATGTCTTTAAAATATTTAAGCAATTTTTATGAAACAGATAGACTATATATGTACACTTTCTGCGTAACTTGCTATTCCTATCTTCATTTAAGTATAAAATGAATTTTCAAGAAATATCTCTACTTTTAAACTAACAAAAAGTTATTTCTTTATATAATGAAATGACTGATAGTTCAACAAAATGAAAATTAATACTTAAAAATGAATTAATACTGTTTATTTTTAGCAGTTTTTTTTTCTATTATATTTACGGAAAGAAACTTTGAAAAAGGGATATATTAAATTCTAAAGAATGTTACTTCGTCAAGAGGTACTTGAATGGGGAAGTCGGAAAGAAGTTAATTGTTATTACAATTTGATCCATTTCTTGCTGGCGTTTAATGATGAAATATAACAACAACTGCATTCATAAGCCTGCAAAGTTGTGCTTCAGAATATATTCGGCCTGTGTCTGAAGCATTCGGAATGTACTGAAGGCATTTCTTAACATGGGAGGAACTAATTTAATTATTGTAAAACTAGCTTATTTTAAGTCCACACCAATGTTCGACAATGCAATATGACAGATATTTGTTCTGAATTTATTGATATATCTGAGTTCTTAACAGTGCAATGAATACGCAAACTATTTAGTGACATTCTCGCATAAACTAGATAGTGAAATTTCGATATGAATCGAGTGTGCTGCAGCGAATTTACTTGTACTTTTAATATTCTGCATTGCACTGCTCAAAATATAAAATTTCCGTCACTTACGAACTAGAACTACGTATCCTTTGGAATTTTTGCCATTTATAATCGGTAATATTTTATGTTAATAATAATATTTGGTCCCTAAGAAAGATCAGGATAATCATTTTGATTGTAAACACAAATAATTTTAAAGTTCGAAAAGAAGCATTTTTTTAGCGCCAAGTTTAAATGTGTGATGTAAATTATTCCGACAGTACAGCAAAGAAATTTTAAATTCATATGCAGTATCCGATATCAATAAACTGAAGAACACAGAAGGACACGCGTTTTGTGGATAATTAACTAATTCCTGTAAAATTTTGGGATCGCTGCTACGCTGCTTAGTATTCTTAGTTTCATAATTAACTAATTTTTATAGAGTTAAAAAAAATTTACTAATGACCTCTACACATGCTGTTATATCAATATTTAATGTTTTTAGAGCTAAAAAAACTTCACTCTCCAAAATGGCATATAAGCTACGCTATATTGATCTCTCCAAGTGCTGTTATATCAATATTTTGAAGAACAAAGTCCGTCTAAAAAAATATTATCCTCTGTTTAGTACGATGTATCGAGCCTAAAAAATCCACGTGCACGATGTAAATCCATGAGATGGTCACTCACCAGGGTTTTCATCCTTATTCTGTTAAAGCTAATTCCAAACACAAAGCTGCAATGCGAAGTTGTGAACGTTAGTGACCATTGATGAACGCTCACCCTTTTATATGAATTCTAGAGCACCTCCTGTTTTGGCTTCTCAATAAAATAAAGAAAATAAAAAATAGAATCTGATACTTTCCCTAACCTACACACCTTGCGTAATCACAGTTCTGTTGTCGAATCCATTTCTGCCCTCTGGTTAAGCGGGAAGGGGGTGGGCGGGTAGGTAGTTGCTCGCTTTAATAGGAAGGAAGTTATATAATAATAAAGGGCGAGAAGAATCGCGAAACAAGTTCAGAAATTCAAAACAATAAAAAAATAAAACTGGATGCGGTGAAAGTAAAAGGAAAGTGCTTCCACCTAATCAATCGTCTTATCCCGTGTGCCCTACTTCCTCAGCTAGACACCTGAATCAGATTCGACAGCGACAAATTTCAACATAGTGTACCTTAAAATAGTTTAAACCCTATTTTTGTTGTTGTATTTTCCACTGGCTGCGGCATGAAACAGAATTGTTCTTTACTATCGTGATAGTAATTACGTGCAATTACTGATAAGGGGAATAACGCTTAACGTAGTGAACCGTGTTAAAGATAGAATGTGCTAGATTATTTTTCCATCATTTCATTACTAATTTCATTTAAAGTAAATCTAACTCTATATTACTGAACTGAATTAAAAATGTCGGAGAGTTTTCTGGTTTCATACTTTGTATTTGAAAAAGTGCATAAAATCTCTTTAACGTTACTTATAAAGGTACTTGATCTCGACTTGCTTCTGTGATAAAAAAATATTAAATCAGCAAAATATATAAGAACATAGTTTTCGTTTAAGGATTAGGATTTCATGCAGGAGTCAGAAAAATTGCTTTTATACGAGTCGCCATTATGTAAGCCTTAAATAAATACCGTCTCTTCTTTTGAAAGTCAGTGGAAGCAATTAAGAAAGCAAAAATACATTTGATTAAAATATGCGTATATTACTGCACTAGGTGCAAGCGAAATCATTAAAAAATGGGTATTACACAGGAAAAGTATATTGCTATATTTACTCTCTCAATATAGAATATCTGTGCTTAAAACAGTTATGACAGGCATTTTAAATGAAAAATGAAATTGTGCCGCAAATCGACGGATCACTGTCAATCACTTGCTATCATTAATGCATATTTTGTACTTTAATAATGCAGCGGACCTCAATTATACAAACGTCAATTATTATCGGAACGATCCGTTTTCCATACTTATTGAACCGTGTTTATGCAAATATCTGCAAATATTACGAGAGACGCCTAGAAATGAGGCATAAATGTCGCATGCGAAAATTCTACGGAATTTTACTTTACTTGACTATTTATTGCTTGGCTTTCTGTGACTTTTCCTAGTTATTATTCCTGCATTCTGTCACTCTCTCTGTCATTGTTAGAAAAAATACATTTTCCGTTTCGAATGTTGTAATTCACACTAATACAATTAATGTGTTATTGTTAATTATGGCATTCGAAACGCAAAGAACTGTACTTTCAGTTTAAAACAAATCCACACTTAAGAATCGTATATAAAACTGAAAGTGCGTTAGGGGCGCATTTTGTAACATAGGAATATCATCAATTGAAAGTATTTAATTTTCTATTTGTTTTGCTAATAACCATAATTTAATATCGAGAAAAAAAGGGGAAAATTTCCAGTGTTTAAAACTAAGTTACTATTTCGTTAAACTAAATGATGTAATGATATTAAATAATAAGAAGTTTATATGCAGTTTTTACATATAGGAAAACTGCTTATCCGAATTTAGTCTAATCCCCGTCAGATCAGCAGCCCATCAGCGGCCGTTTTTCGGTAAAATTGCTGAACACTAGTAGTTCCAACCAGTCGCGGACACTTAGCCGACAGGAAATTTAACTGAAACGTACAATTAGCCGACACGTACAGTTAGTTGACGGGACAGTTAGCTGACACGGAAATTTAGCCGACAGGACACTTAGCTGACAGGACATTTAATTGACACGGACATTTAGTCGGCAGGACACTTAGCCGACGTAGACATTTGGCCGACAGTTCATTTTACCGACACGAATATTTAGCGGACAGGATATTTAACCGACAAGACGTTTAGCAGAAAGCACGTTATTCTGATTGAATGACAACGCCTATATGTAGGAAAAAAGTATGCAACAATGTTTCAGTAAAATTTGTTCATATTTTATCTGAAAAAAAAAAAAAAAAAAAAAAAAGAGGCTGTTTACAGGGTACCTAACGAGAAGCTTTATGAACAAGTACCATACATATGATCTAATTTCATGTTACAGAAACTATGGATTTTAAAATTGAACACAAAAGTAACCTTATTTTGGAGTAGGTTTTGAAATCGATTTCGAGAGTGATAAGACACTTCTGACATGTAAGAATACACATCAGAAGTGTCTTATCAGGAAGTGGGAACGAAAATTTCAGCAGTCGGAAGAGTGGAATTATTTTATATATAAAGAATGAGCGGAGCAAAGCGAAAACAAATGCAACGTAAATTGTATTTCTTTCTCAATAACAAAAAATTTTAATCTTTAGTAAACGACGTTAATTTTCAAACGCTTTCAAAATTCTAATATCTTAGTTTTCCCACATTTCATAATTATTTTCCGCTACAGATCACGTTATATTTGTTTTCGCTTTGCTCCAATCATTTCTTTAAATAAAAAATCGTTTTGCTCTTCCAGCTGCTGAAATTTTCTATCCCACTTCTGAAATGTGGAGACTAAGCCACCCAAACGTCGAACGGTAAAGTCGCTGAATATTGGTAGTTCGGTCCGGAGTTAGAATCCCGACGGACGGGTTGGTTGCGTGACGCTTTCGTGGTTTTTTTTTCCTTGCGTAATGGGCATATGAGCCAGTTTTCCCTAAAAAGGAAGGCTTCCCTTCCCTTAGGCAGATAGCCCTCGAATGCTTTGGCATAATCAAATAAGCAAAATCGAAATATAGAGACATATGTTTGATTACTCTCGAAATTGATTTCAAAATCTACACAAAACAAAGGTTGCTTTTCTGTTTAATTTTAAAATCCAGGAGTTCCTTTAACATTAAAATAAAAAATATGGTACTTATTCATAAACCATTGATTACCCTGAAAACAGCCCTTTTTTCAAGTAAATATGGACAAATTTTACTAAAACATTGTCGCTTTTTTTTGTCTATATATGTACGTGTTGTCAACTAAACATATTGTCGCCTAAAATGTCCTGTCAGCTATATGTCCGTGTCGGTTAAATGACCTATCGGCTATATGTCCTTGTCGGCTAAGTGTTCTGACGGCTAAATGTCCATGTCGTTTAAATTTCCTTGTCGGCTAAATGTCGGTGTCATTTAAATGTCCTGTCGGCTAAATGTCCGTGTCATTAAATGTCCTGTCGGCTAAATGTCTCTGTGAACTAACTGTCCTGTTGGCTAAATGTCCGAGTCGGTTAAATATCCTGTCGGTTAAATGTCCATGTTGGCTAAATGTACTGTCGGCTAACTTTCCGTGTCGGCTAAGTGTCTCGTCGATTAAACATTTGTCAGCTAAGTGTCACAGACCTAGTTCCGACCTGGATTCGATTCCAGGCAAACGGGCTGTCTGCATAGGCGTTTTCGTGTTTTCTCCGTGTGTAATGTGTATATGAGCTAGTTTCCCTTAGACAGTCGTCCTCAAAGATATTCTATCCCTTTGGCAGGTAGCCCTGGTGTGCCTTACCACAATCAAGTAAACCAAACCAAACCAATCAGATCAAATAATCGAGGCTTTACTATATATAGTTATATAACAGTGTCAATCAGTGTATTTCTTAAAATATTTTTATACTTCTTAGTGCAAAAAGAATGCTAATAATATATCTGCTGTTTAAATAGCATCTTTGCTAATGCGATTTCATCGTTAGTTATTATTTCCTCGTAATATGCTACATATTGAAAATTTACAGTACCGAAAATAGGTATATAATTTTAATGTAATATCATTTACATTGCAACATTTGGGAATAGAATGCTAAAATACTCTGTAGCGAAACCTATAGAAATCTAGGAAAAAATGAGTATACGATAATGCTGGTCTATAACGACACTCTTGCCGTTTAAATACTGAATAGTGATACAACACAATATACAAAATACCGAATACTGAATATTGGTACACAAATGTAATACTGGATATCGGTACAAAATTACAAATCATAACCGGTTTACAGCATTATATACAGTGTGTCTCGTAAATGTTGCGGCAAACTTCTGGGGAAGGTAGGGCACATCCTAAGGAATTTTTAATGCTTTTCGTTTCAAAACTATAAATCATTCCAAGTGTCATTTTCTTTAATATAGAAATATTATCATGACTCTTCTTACGATTATGATTTGAATATAAAGAATGAGCGAACTAGGTACATAAAATCGATATAATTAACTTGTAAGTGTGTGTGTGTGCGTGTGCATGTTTCCTGTTTCTCCCCCTTTTCTTAAATGGCTGAAAACCCTTGCATTGGGGCGCGTATTTATCTCTTCACCTCAGGCGAAAAACATTGTAGGCACGGCTGTGTGTAGTGTCCCTATGATTTATCCGACCTGTATTCATTTAACAGTATATGATGTGTAAAAAAGAAGACTACTCTTCTTTCTTACACATCCTATACTGTCATTGTTTTATGATATCTTGTGCTACCAATACGCAATTTTAAATTATCTATTTTTCAATAGAAACCTGAGAATAAAATCCTAAGGGTCGTGATATTTATTGTATTCTAGAAAACTGTAGCATGATTCTTCAGAAATTAAAATATTTAATATTGATTAAAAAATTTTCTGTCAGTTAAGGATTGAAGAGTTCAGGATTCTTGAGGAAAAAATTGCCAAATGCACCTATGCCGTCGACTCGTCCTGTTAGGAAACTAACCTAAGATAAAATACAAGTAGTTAAGGCATAAAACCTACATGGGTTCTTACAACCATAGGTCAAGTGTGCTTTTAATGTTTAATTTTGGTAAATTAAAATAATAAATAAATACACTGTTGGTCACCGTAAATGCAACACCCTGAAGGAAGGATGCAAATAACATGAAATTTACAACATGCATTAGCGGAGGTGAGATATGCAAATGA